GAGGGGCAGGGAGGGGCAGGGAGGGGCAGGGAGGGGCAGGGAGGGGCGAGAGTTCAGCTCAAAGTGAAAGGTGAAATAACAAAAGACGGCACGCGAAATGGCAAAATGCCAGAAAGAAACAAGATTTAGAAGAAAAAGGATTTTTGCCACGAGATGGAAATGTGTGTCCAGTTTATCACAGCTCGTTTGTGCATAGTTTTTTGCATGTTATCTACTCCATCAGACTGTATATTCCTTGAGGGCAGGACAATGTTTTTATCTTTCTTTGTATCTCCAGGGCTTAGCACTGTGCCTAGCATATAGTAGGCGCTTAATAAATGCTTATCGACTTGACTTGCAGACTCCCACATCTACAGGTGCAACCCTAGCCTCTCCCATCACCAATTGCCTGTTGGACATTTAAAACTGGAGATCCCCATAGACAGATCAAACCCGAAGTATCTGAAACAACTCATTTCATGTCCTTCCAAACGCACCCTTCTTCCCATCTTCCCTGCTACTGTCCAGGACACACCATTCTTCTACTCACCACCTCTGAGTCAGCCTGAACTTCTTTCTCACTCATCCCACATATCCAATTAATTGTTAAGTCTAGTAACATTTATCTCTTACAATATCCCTCCAGTAAATCTCTTTACTCAGTAGGGCTACCTACCACCCCTCTAGTTCTGGTCCTCATCACTTCTCACCTGGACCATTGCACTAAAGGAAAGGGAGAAGGGAACAAGTATTTATTAAGGGCCTACCATGTACTAGGAATGTGGCAGGCAGGTGAAGCAATGGATAGAATGCCAGACCTGGAGTCAGGAAGACTCATCTTCCTGAGTTCAAATCTGGCCTTAGACATTTATTAGCTGACCCTGGGCAAGTCACTAAACCCTGTTTGCCTTAGTTTTCTCATCTGTAAAATGAGCTGGAGAAGGAAATGGTAAACCACTCCAGTATCTTTGCCAAGAAAACTCCAAATAGGGTCATGAAGAGTTGGACCCAGTTGAACAACAATGTGCCAAGCACTGGCACATAAATAAAGAATGATCCTCAAAACAACCCTGGGAGGTAGGTGCTATTATTACCGCCCATTTTACAACTGAGGAAACTGAGACCAACAGAGGTTAAAGGACTTGTCCAAGGTCACAGCTTTTAAGTGTTTGAGGTTGGATTTAAACTCAAGTTTTCCTTACTCCAGGCTTGGAGCTCCATCCATTTGTACTACACAGGTGCCTCCTAGTTGGTCTCCTTGCTTCAGTTTTTCCTCTCTTCAACCCATCTTCCACATAGCTGCCCAAGTGATAGTCCTAAAGCAGTGGTCAAAAGACCATATCACTCTTCTGTTCAAGAAACTCCAGTGGCTCCCTGAAATCTGCAGGATCCAGTACAAATCCTTCTGTTTGACAATCAAAGCCCTTTGCAATCTGGTTCCAGCATACCTTTCTGGGTTTATTCCATTAGTCTTACGTTCAGGGTACCTTACAGCCAAACTGGCCTGTTCCCCACACATGACATTCCATCACCCATCTCTGTATTTTTAGCCTAGTATTTCCTCACTCCACATCTCTGTTTCTAAAATCCCAAGTTCAGAGTTCAGCTCATCCTTCTTCAGGGGGGACAATAGGTGTGGGATTACTGAATATAACATCAGACTTGGTTGAGGTATTGGCTAGTTTTGCAGAACTTCTTCTTAGCAGGGAGAGATGTATTAGGAAACGAAGATGTGGTAAAAAAACAAAAGATAGCAATACATTTGAGAAAGATACCAAGCTTAGCTTGAGGGTCACTTCCTCTCATATGAGGCATTTCCTGATTCCCAGCTGCTAGCACCTGCTTCTCAGAAAATTCCCACCTTTATTTTGTTTGTACATTTATGTGTATATATCTCTCAATAGAATTTGAGCTCTTTGAAGGCAGGAATTGTTTTATTTTTGTTTTTGTATTCCCAATTCCTAGTATTCATAGGTGCTTAATAAATGCTGCTTGATTGATTTTTGTTGTTGTTGTTTTTTCCTTTGGAGGCAATCAGGGTTAATTGACTTGGCCAGGCTCAAACAGCTGGTAAGTGTCTGAGGCCGTATTTGAACTAGGGTGCCCCCTGAGTACAGGGCTGGTGATCTATCCACTTCATCACCTAGCTGCCTGTGCTTGCTTGCTTGATTGATAAGTTACCATTGTGATTGATTCTAGATGATACAGTAAAGTATATAAGGGATGGGGGTGGTGGGAGGTAAGGAGATTACAAAAGGGAACAGGTAGGTAAAAAAAAATAACTCAGGTACAGAAGGGAACATGTACATTAAAAAAATCTCAGGTGCAGGTTATAGTGCTTGGGATGTAGTAGGCATAGGCAAAAAGCAATTTGAAACTGAGATGACCTAGACAGCCTGCATTTATTTGACCTTTACTTCTGGACCTTCTTGACTTTTTTTCTCCCAGATTAAATTCATTCATTCATCAAACATCAATTAACCAACTACTGTGTGCCACGTGTTGGGGGGGGGGGCAGGAGGAGAGAGAATAAAAAGACAGTGATGAAATCCCACCTCCTAAATCTTAGTGCCTTCCCTCTGAGATTATCACCAATTTGTCCTGTATCTATCTTAGTTGTACATAGCTGTTTATTCGAATATTATCTCTCCGTTAGATAGTGAGCCCCTTGAGAGCAGGGACAGCCTGGCACATGGCAGGTACTTCATAAATTCTATTGATTGACTGACATTGTGCCACTTTTATTTCCCTTTCTTTTCATGTCTCTTAGGGGAGTTAGTATATCTATCAATCAAGCAAGCAATAAACATTTATTAAGTGCCAATATATGCCAGGCACTGTGCTAAGTACTGGAGATATAAAAAGAGTCAAAAGACAGCCCCTGCCCTCAGCGAGCTTAAATCTAACAGAGACAACATGCAAGCAAGCTATATGCAGGATAAATAGGAAATAATAAACACAGAGAAGGCACTGGAATTAAGAGGGGTTGGGGAAGGTTTCCTGTAGAAGGTGGGATTTTAGTTGGGATTTAAAGGAAGCCAGGGAGGTCAATAGTAGGAGTGAAAGAGAGTGTTCCAGGAATGGGGGACAACCAGAGAGAACGCCTGGAACAGAGAGAGAATATCTTATATAGTGTATATTGGAGAAAATCATCCAAATAGTAGTCGGGAGTTCTAGGTTCAAATCCTAAGCCAGTATAAATTGTCTTTGTGACCCTAAGCAAGTCATTTAACCTCCCAAATACATATCTAACCTTGAGGAACTGGGTCACTGAGGGACTTAGTCACTTACCCCTTCTTGTCCTGCACTGAGCCATGTGATTTGGACTAGGTTCAGTTCTGGGGAGCCTGACTGTAATGAGAGGGGTTAGGCTTCCCTTTTCTCACATTAATTGGCTTGTTAAATCCCCTACCTAGCATGACAGAAAAACTTTTACTTAAGGCTCACTCTCTCTAGGGCCTCCACAAAAAAGGGGAGTTAAAAAAAAAGTGCTCAATGAATTGGCTTTGGAGAGGGGAGGGAGGAAATGAGCATTTATTAAGCACCTACTGTGTGTCAGATGCTTTACAAATATCTCATTTAATTCCTGATATAAGAAAACCTAAATTCAAATCCAAACTCAAACACTTACTAGCTGTGTCACCGTGGGCAAACCACTTTAATCTGTTTGCCTCAGTTTCCTCAATTGCAAAATGAAGATAATAACAGCACCAGGTAAGTTATTCTTTATACACTGAAAAAACGCTCAACATAAAGCACTCACAAGCAGACATTAGCAGAAAAAGACTTAGTAACATAAGTATTGTTATAATGTATAAAAAGGCTAATACTCAAACATTTCTATTATGTGTAAAAAGGCTAATACTCAAACATTTCACCTCAGCTCAGCACTGTCCAAACAACTCCTGATACATGTCTACTAGTAAAAATGGATAAACTTGGTGCCAGTCCTCCTGTTGGTGGCTGCCCACTCCGATAGAGAAGTTTTTCTTATTGCCCTCCTGCTGCCAACATAACCGACCATTCCTTTTATAGAACCTAGGACCTCTGGAATTCTCAAACTCACAAGGTCCTTCAAGCTGGAACACATCCTCCTCAAGAATCATGTCTGATTACCTACTCAGGAAGGGAAAGGAGAGAAAAGGGAGTTGCAGCCCAGTTGTACTCATACTTCACATGGATGGCAGGAAGCCCAACTGCCCTACAAAGAACATCCAAAGCAAAGAGTGAACTACTTTTCAAGTGGGAGAGTTCAAAGGAAGAGAAAGTTCAGTACCTTTTTGGTATGCCCATTGGTTAATTAACTCTTCCAGCTCCTTCAGCCAATAAGGGGATATCACTCATCATCTCACAGTGTAAGTCCCTTCAGTGATGGATCCCATAAGACCAGAAACAGGCTCCTTGATACATCCCCATGCATGCTTAAAACCAGGAATCACAACCTCTGAGCATATTTCATGGGCATCAGGTTATGGCCTGTACTACAAATATAAAACTAGGATAATGTTTTATAGATATTAGCTTCTGGATTTAAAACAATGAGAATAATATATTCAATGCAATATTTTCCTTACAGAGGAGATTTGGTGAGGGAAGCACAAATTGTAATATAAATGTGCTTCTGGCTCAGTGAGTGACTATTATATTTACTTACTAAGCATGTGTCACATCATATATCTCCTTTTCTTTCTTAGAGAAGGTGATGGTTAATCTCTTCTATCATTCCCACTCAGTCGTAGATCACCTGGGCCATTCTTGTCTTCTTTCTGAGCAGTCCTCCCACCCTTGACACATAAACA